TACATGCTCTGGTCTAGCTGGATTTATAAGATAGAATTGGGATCAAGATAGTTGGGGGTGGGAGGGAGGAAGCATTAAAGAACTAGAAAAAAGTTGTATGTTTTAACGGTGCTATACTGCACGCTAACTGGCTCGTCTGAGTGTAAATCTTCAGGGGAACAGAAAGCCTCATCTTTCTCCCTCCGAGTGGGTTTGAACTCCTGACCATGCAGTTAGTTGGCAGCCTAATGCTTAACACTGCCAGTGCTCCTTAATTTTAGTATTTCACTCAAAAACTCATTGCCGTCAAGTTGATGCTGAATCACAGCCACCCTCTAGGACAGGGTGGAACCGGTCCTGCGAGTTTCCAAGACTGCAACCTTTATGGGAGCGAAAGCCTCATCCTTCCCCCAAGAAGCTCCTGGTAGTTTTGAACTGCTGGCCTTGTGGTTAGCAGCCCAAGACACAACCACTATGCTACCAGAGCTCCTCACCTTAGTATAAATATAAATAAGCAGTTTAATATTGTGTGACATTTAAACTGTCTCCACTGGTTATTTTTCAGAATGCTGCGAGGAACAGGCCTTTACACACATTTTTCTTCACTGTGTCCAATGACATCCCTAGGGTAAGAATTCCTAGGGGTGCAATTTTCAAGAAGACACCAAGAATAAAACCCTATCGGCGATGCTGACCTCTTTTCTCCACAAGGAATATCCCACTTAGGCATCAGTGCCATTGGATACTAGACCAGAAAGATAGGTCTTCTCAAGAAACGAGCCCTTCTCTCCCCTTCTTCACACCCATGCTACGAAGTCCCACAGCAGCAGAATTATATTGGCTCAATGCCTCCTGCATTCCCTTGAACCAGCAGAACTCTAGGATGACCGTGTGCTGGATGTCCCAGGGTGATCACCACAAGTGTGGAAACATGATAGGTCTTTGTTACCGATTCTGTCCTGTGTGTGGACAGACGGAAGACTCCTGGGACCCTTCTTCAAAGACCAAAGATGTTCAAGCTAGAAGAGAGTATGGCGTCATCCTCTGCCTTGGAGAGAGCAAAGCTGAGGCCCAGGAAGACTGACAGTGCAAAGATTTCAGTAATTATTGCATGGACCCCAGAAGGGCCTCACTCGGCTAGTTCAGGACCAAGCTCAAACCCACCAAAGTCTTAGACCCTGAAACACTTTATTCTCCTTCCTCTATTCCCAAAATTGGAGCTTGAGATAATATGGGCCGTGATTTTGCTCAGTCATGAACAATTGTGTGCTGGAGTGGGCCTCCCTTTAAGGGCCAACAGTGTCCACATGCCCAACTCTGTGTTCAATGCTGCCGTGTTAGAAACAATGCTGCCATGTAAGTCAGCCAGGGTGGAAATATTTATACCATGGGTATTGGCAAACACCATCTAGCATGTTTGTCCTCCTGGGCAGTCAGTTGTTAAGCTTTACCAGCACACCACTGGTCATGTAGGTGCAAAAACCATATGCAGGTGACCTCAGTTTCTCACCGGAGGACAACCTCTTTCCTCAAAGTGTTATCATTCTACGTGTTCTTTCCTAAATATACACCTGTGAATTCATCTTGATCCTCTTCCATGTTAATCATGAGCCAGTTCGTGTTATCCCAAGGGCTCACTTGATCTTTACAATGTCACTGTGAAATAATTATTATCATTTCCATCTTACAATCGGGGAAACTGAGGGTCAAAGAGTTTAAATGCCTTATCGGTCTTAGGGTCTACTTCTGGGGGGATGCCAACCTAGACAGGGAAGCTCTGAGAAACTGAGTCACCATGAGCACCCTGCTGGAGAACCCCGAGAGACACTTTAGAACATACCTCAATGTTATCCCAACAGCAAGCAAGGGCGCCGGGGTACTTATTTATGCACCAATTTCAAGAAGCCAGGGGAACGTGGACAAGATGCCTACAGTATCTATTCCCAAACCAAATGCATTGCTATCAAGCTGATCCCCACTCACAGCGATCCCACCGGGCTGAGTAGAGCTGCTTCATAGGGCCTTCCATACACTCTACGGAAAGACTGCCACATCATCCTCTCGTGGAGCGGCTGGAGGGTTTGAACTATGGACTTTTCAGTAAGCAGCCAAGTGCTCAATCATCACACCATCAGGGAGATTAGTCTCCAAAAGCATTCGGCTAGAACAGTGGTTCCCCACTTTCCTAATGCTGCAAGCCTTTCATACAGTTCCTCATGTTGTGGTGACCCCCGCAACCATAAAATTATTTTCATTGCTACTTCATCACTATCATTTTGCTACTGTTATGAATCGTAATGTAAGTATCTGATATACAGGATGTATTTTCATTGCGACAAATTGAGCATAATTAAAGCATACTGATGAATCACAAAACAAAATGTAATTATATATCGTAAAATATTTATGCATTTTCTGACGGGTAGGCAACTCCTGTGAAAGGGTCGTTCAACCCCCACAGGGGTCGCAACCCACAGGTTGACAACCGCTGGGCTAGCAGATGGCAAAATGCGGTTGGAGCTTCCTCTTCACCACACAGCGCACAGGTAATCACAGCTCCTTAACTGAGTACCAAACGCAGGTGATAAACTGCGTGAAAAAACATTTAGCCAGATCCCTTTGTATTAACAAAGCACGAGCTATCATTTTGCCAATGTTTACCAAAAGGGCTCCCAGCTCCCTGCCATCAAATCAGTTCCGACTCCTATAGGACAGGGTAGAACTGCCCCGGTGGGTTTCAAAGACTAACTCTTTAAGTGTGTGAAAAAGCCTCATTCTCCTGAAGAGCAGACAGTGGTTTCAAACTGCTGACCTCATAGTTAGCAGCCCAACCACAATGCCACCAGGGCCTCTTATATCAGTAGAAGGAATAGGAAAACCTCTTCTCAATGGCCTTTGCCCAGCATGCAGGCATTAACCAAAGTCCCATCCTGGCACCCTTGTTTGGCAAAGGGCTGCTCCTTCTGGCTCAACCACAGCTGCCCCAGGCAGGAGTCCCACAGCCCCAAGCTGTCATCCCACAGAGCTGCATCAACCTGTGATTACAGTCTCCAGAGGCTCCCAGCCCAGGGAGGCGCAGCAAACACCCACTGGCCGTCCAACCGCTGAATCTGGAGGATGTCCCTGTTTATGGAGCTCTGCTTCCCACCGGGCCTTGACCCCCACCTGCCTCCTCAAACAGCCACATCCTCCCCAGGAACCCAGAAGCAGGCCAGATAAATATGGCCAGTGCCAAATAAATAAAACCAGCAATCACAGGGTTATGGCAGCTCACCCTACCTAAGTACTTATTTTAAATTCTTATGGGGAGGCAAGGAGGTGCTTAAATAGGACAGTGTGTCATTGGGGTAAAGAGCTGAATTGGGTTGTGGATTGTGGTGAGAGGGACAGGAAAGAGGCAGTGGGGGCTGCTGCCCTCGTAGAAAGATCCAGCTGTAGCCCTCTGGGCAGCTGAGGCTTGAAGACAGGGACTGGACATCTTGTTCCATCCCAAGCACATTGTTGGCACCTGTCCCGTTTCTCACTCTCAAGGGGAGGAGAGGAAGCACAGGCCTGGAACTGCCCACGAGATCACCGATCTATCTTTCTTCCAGTCTCTCGGCAGGAGTCTGGCACCGTGGTTCTGCTTCCACATACCCGCCTCTGCCAACCAGGGAGGCCACTTACTGCCAAAGTATCCTAAAGTGGTCAGAAAACAATCATCGGGCCAAGGCCCTTTCTCAGCTCAACAAGGAGTCCACTTTCTAGCCAGCCCCGCAGCCCTGCGCTGAGACAATGGTGATGGCAAGACGCACCAGGGTGGACACCTCGCCGAGAAACTTGCCCAGCTGTTCACACATGCAGGGCGGACACAAAGTCTAGCTCCAGGGTACCAGGAAGGAGACCAAGACATCAAAGTAAAATGAGTGGGTGGCTTCCAGGTGAGGCCAGGGCATGTGAGAGAGCTACCATCTTCAATTGATTCCTTAAAAAGCCTAACTGAGAAGCCTGGACTTCCAGACAGAAACCACACCGAGATGCGGGGCCAGGGTGGGGGACCATGGAGCCCCAGAGTCGGACAAGACCCACCCTCAAGAAATTGGGGGTGATGCTGGAAACACAGCAGGTTCGGGTATGGCACATGCCCCCACCCCACCCAGTAGGATATAAAAGCATGTCCCCTCCCCCTGGAGGAGGGCCCAGATGGGGGCTGCGATCCCCTGGGCTCTCCTGAGACAGGCTCCTCCAAAGAGGTCCTGGTCCTTCAAACTAGATTCCACACGTTTGCAAATGAAGGCAGCGGAGCCTCAATTAGACTGCTTTCCCAAAGGTGGATCTGTGGCTGCCTCCTCTTTCTGATGGAAGAACAGGATTCACCGTCCAGCCTCCCCCTGCACAGGGAATCCCAAACTGGGCCAGCTGCCCTTCCAGGACCCAGGCAGGTTCTATGCTCTGCCTCCATCTTCTTCTCCCAGGACCCAAAACAACCCCCTTTTCCAAAACTACCCACCTGGGTGAGCCCAGCCATCCCTTCAGGCCCTCTGCTCCCCAGCCCCCACCCCCCTGTCCTGCCACAGTTGTTTGGAATAGAGAGATGAAAAGACAGCCGGGGTCCACACTCATGCCTCCCACCCCAGGATCTCACTCCTATGGACATCTCCCAGGCAGACTCCACACTGAAGTCCTGGAGACCCTGCATATGGTGACACGTTTTGTTTGTTTGTTTAAACAAACTCTCTTAACCCAATGGGCCATACCATGGCAAGTTTCTTTAACTAACTAACCAGCGGCCAAGAAGCTCCCGGGAGGTGAAAGTAGACCGATAGGTAAAATAGTGGATCCAAGCTCAGATCCCTCATCTTGGTGCCTCTGAAACAAGACCGCAGACTCTGCCTCCTGCCGTGCTGCGGAATCACGGTCTCTAAACACATGTTGACGCCCATTTCACCGAGTTCCGCTGGGGCAAGAGCCCAGTCCTGGGCCTGGACTAGCCTGCTAGCTCATTCGTTCATGCGTTCACTCCCCATGCGTAAAGAACTTACTATAAACCTGGCACGGTGTAGACACGCTTCTGCCGGCAAGTAGCACACGTTTATGGCCCCGGAGTCCAGGCACCTGGGAATAGATGGCATCGTGGGGTTGAATAGCCTCGCTCGGCCCCCCGACTCACCCCCACCGGTCTCCGAGCCACAGACGACCCCAGGACCCACGGAGTGCCCCAGAGGAGAGCCAGGACCCTCGGCCTCCCTCGCAGCCCGCCCGCCGGCCCGCTGGCTGTCCCGGGGCTCCCTCGGCGGCGGCGCTGAGAGCACAGAGGCGCTCCAATCGCGGAGCTCCGTGGGCGGGAGCCTCCGAGGCACCTGCCTGGTTCGGGGCGCCCGGCTCAGCCGAAAAAGGAGCAAACTCGAGGCTCCGGGGGCGGGACCCGAGACCTCAAAGGGGAAGTGGCGCGAGGGCAGGGGGAGTCCTGGCCGCGTCGCCTCCCCGCGCTGGGGTGAACTCCGCCCCTGGGGACCCATCCGTGGGCCTGCCCATTCCTGCACCTGCTGCCAGCCCCAGCTCCCCAGGGCGCGCCAGGGCCTCGGGGACCGGACTGGCCTGGGCGCGCAGGGAGGGAAGGACCGCCGGGGACGGGGGAGGGCCAGCTCGGAGCCACAACTTTCTGCGGCCGGACCAGAGGGCTGGGGCTGCAGGCGGACGGAGGCAGGGAGGCCCGGCGCCGGAGAGGATTGAGGGGCTCGCCGGATGGGGCAGGGGTCACCGAGGGAAAACTTTCGGCCGCGGGGCGCCGAGGAGCGCCAGCGCCTTGCGCTCTGCGTCCCGCAAACCGGCCGCTCGCGCCCCGCGCCCCGCTTGCCTGCGTCCCGGGCCGGCGGCACCGCGCGCGCCGCGGGGACGCTGGAGTTGGAAAGTGGGGGCGCCGCGCAGCGGGCGGCTCCAGCCTGTGCCAGGCGCTGCGCTCGGCGGGCCCGGGGGTCGGGCGCCCCGCCCCTGCTCGCTCCCTCTCCCGCCCCCTCGGCCTTTATCTGCCCCTACCGGCTCGGGCCGTCTCCCCTGCGCTCTGCGGTCGGTGGTTCTCCATCTCTGCCCACCCCTCCTCTCCTTCGCCTTTCTTCCTCCTCTCTCTGCTCTGCGCTCCTCTCCCGCCCTCCTGCCCCTCCCCTGGAGGGGGCGGAGCGTCTCCCCTCCCTCCCAGACAATGCGGTGGCTGCGCGTCCCCTTCCCAGCCCGCGAGCCGGAGCTGGGGCTGCGAGCGCCTCTTCCGGGCTGGGGGAAGTGGGAGGAGGGCCGGGGTGGGGGGGAGGAGCTGGCTTCGCTGAGCCCCCTCCTCTTGCTGGAGCGAGCCTTGGCCGTAGTCCCTCTGGCTTGCCTTGCGCTGTGACAGCCACGCGGCCCGGTGGAGCCCACCTCGAGCGCCTCGTATTGTCCCAGTTGAGGATGTGGGATTTCCCCCTCCCCGCCCCCCGCCCCCAACACCCGGGCTCCTTCTAAAAAGCATTTGGGCTGGGCTAAGTAGGCCCCTGGGACTTGGAGGGCTGGCAGACGTGACCGCAATGTGAAGAAGGCCAAGTTTCTTTGTCCACCTCTCACCTCCCCTCTGATCCATCCCTGGGCACCCCCCACCCCGGGGGAAGTGCCAGAGCACCTGTGGTCTCCTGTCTGTTCCCTTCCTCTGAACAGAATCTCCCCACACACCGTGCCTCCTGCCCGCAGAGTCCCGCTCCAAGAGCCAGTCAAAGGGGCAGGTGGCCCAACGGTTAATAAGTGGGTGGCCAAACCCCAGGGTGCAGCTGGACCAGCTCTGCTCCCTGGAGCCAAACATTCTTCACTAAATTCATTGTTTGGATCTTGGAATGTGTCTCCCATAGAAACAATGTTATAAACCGTAATCTGCTTCCCAAACCAGCCACAAAAGTCTGTTGAACCCAAAAAACAGCTGTGGGGTGGTGCCGAGAACTGTCAGTTAAGGCAAACAAGGAGGCCACTGACCAGCTCTTTTAATGAGGTCAAAAGAGAATTGTCTTCTGCTACAAGCAGTCAAACCCTCCCATTAATTGTGCCACCCTCTGGAGTCCACGATTCTGTTGCAGGTAACAGGAGCCTCCTCAGGGGAATACACTCCTATTTAGGGGACACTGGGGTTCTCAATAACCTTGAGGTCAGGACTTCAGGCAGGGAGAACTCAGGAGTAGGCTAAAAACCAGAGCCTGCAAGGCTTGGCCTTTCCTGCACCCAAGCACTTGACAATGAGTGATCATTACTACTTCGAAGGGACTTCAAAGAATTTATGGGAACATAAAATTAAAGATAGTTTTTTTTTAATATACTTCGCTTCACTGTATAAGTTCCATCACGTTCAAGACACCTTTCTAAGTGAAGATTTCCAAAATACTCACTGCCACTGACTTACACTTCCAACTCATAGTGATCCCACATAGGACAGCATAGAACTGCCCCTGTTCTATGTTTCTGAGACTCTTTGCTGGAGTAGGCTGGTGGTCTTGAACTGCTGACCTTTTGGATTGTAGCCCAAAGCATAACTAATATACTACCAGGGCTCTGAATGAACTGGTAGTTCTGGAATTTAACCATGTCGGTGCAGTCATTTTTACATTATTAACTAAAGAAAAATGGGTGCCCTTAAAGGTTGTTTGATGTTGTTGTTTTAAGATTAAGAAACAAAAAGAAGTCAGAAGGAGCCAAAGCAGGACTGAAGGTGGATGCCTAATGATTTCCCCAATGAAACACTCACAAAAATTGCCCTCCTCTGATGAGAAGAATGAAGAGGTGCATTGCTGTGGTGGGAAAAGACTCTCTGGTAAAGCTTTCCCCAGTATTTTTCTGCTAAAGCTATAGCTAAGTTTCTCAAAACACTCTCAGAATAAGCAAATGTTATCATTCTCTGGACCTCCAGAAAGTCAACAACCAAATCCCTTGAGCATTCCAGAAAATGTTGACATGACCTTTGCATTTGACCCATCTGCTTTGACTTTGACTGGATTACTTCAATCTGGTAGCCATTTGTGTTAGTCCGGGTAGACTAGAGAAACAAATTCATAGACATTCATATGTGTATAAGAAAGAGCTTTATATACTACAGCAATTGAATATTGAGAAAACACCCTAGCCAGTCCAGATCAAGTCGCTAAATCTGATATTAGCCCATATATCTGATACCAATCTATAAAGTCCTCTTCAGACTCATGAAACACATGCAATGATGCCAAATGCAGAAGATCACAGGCCAGTGGGTGGAAAGTCTTGTGGATCCAGTGGCAGTGGAAGCATCTCAGCACTGGCATAGGTCTCCACGTGGTTCCTCCAGCTCCAGGGCTCTGGCTCCATTAGCACAGCTCCATATGGCTTGTCAACAGGAATGTGTAGCAGAGAGTGTGGGTCTGGCCTCCAGTGAGCTATTTGTCTCAGTAGCGCCTCCAAATGAGGTCATCAATTGGGGACCTGATTGACAGGCTAAACTTCACCCCTTGACTCTTAAGTCTCAAATTGACAACAGATTATGTAACTACCACACCATTGCTTTGATTGTGCTTTGTCTTCAGGATCATACTGAGAAAGCTATGTTTCATCTGTTACAATTATTTGGAAAAATGCTTTAGGATCTTGATCCCACTTGTTTAATAATCTCCACAGAAAGCTCTGCTCTTATCTTCAGTGGATCTGGCAGTTTGGGCCTCAATTGAGCAGAAAGTTTGCTCAACTTTAATTTTTTAGTCAGAATTTTGTAAGCTGAACTGGTTGAGATGTCTATGGCATTGACTGTTCCTGCAGCCAATCGTGGGTCCTCTTCAATTACGGTACATAAAAAGATTGTTTCACGGCAAACAATGTGGATGGTCTGCTGCTGCTTGCTTCATCTTCAAATCCACGCATCCTTCCTTATAATGAGGTCTCCATTTGTAAACTGCTGATTTCTTTGGGACATTGATAAGCATCAGTGATTTCATCATTTTTCCACTTACGTATCACCAAGAAAAAAGTCACTGTGGGCTTGCTTCAATTGTAGCAGAATTCATGTTTCTCTGATAAGGGATCTTTTAAAAATTCTGTCTTATCCTGCTTAGTGCCTCAAACAAGATCCTGTTCAAATCAGGATCCTATTCAAATCAGAATGAGTCTATTTTGGTGCAAAAAGAAACTTTTGAAATTTGTGTATATATATATATTTTTCCCCCCATAATATGAATTTCCCATGAACTTTTGGAAGACCCCTTGTATCACTGCGGCTTGAAACTCTACTTTTCAAGAAAGTATCCAGGTTCAATAATCATATTTCCAGTAAGACTGTAATATCTAAAATGTATATAAAATTTCAACAATTTAACAAGAATACAAATAACCCAATAATAAGATGAGCAAGAGACTTGAATAGACATTTCACCAAAGACATGCAAATGGCTAGCAAACACATGAAGAGATGCTGTGTATCATGAGCCATCCGAAACATGCAAACTGAAACCAAGAGATGCCCCTGACTTCTCTAGGGGAGCTAATGTTATGTGTGTGTGTGTGTGTGTGTGTGTGTGTGTGTGTGTGTGTGTATAATAATGAATGTTGCCATGGATGTGGAGAAATTAGAACCCTTATCCATTGCTGGTGGAAATGTAAAATGTGGAAAACAGTAGGTTCATTACTCAACTAAAATTATAACTACGATATGATCCAGAAATTCCACTGCTAGGTATATATTCCAAAGACTTGAAAGGAGAGACTCAGAAATGTGTACAATGTACACCAATGTTCACTGTAGCACTATTTAGAATAGCCAAAAGGTAGAAACAATGTTATCAATGAAAGATGGATCAATAAACTATGGTACGTACATCCCTACGTACATCCTCAGATAGTAGGATACATAAAGGCTTGATACATGACTCACTATGGATGGAGCTTGAAGACATTAAGCTGAGTGAAATTAGTCAACCACAAAATTACAAAGATTGCATGACCTCGCTTAGATAAAAAGACAAGATAAAGCAAATGCATAGAGAACCAAGTTTATTAGTGGTTACCAGCAGCAGGGTGGAGCAAGAAAGGGGAGGGGAGGGCAGTGCTGATGACAACATCACACTGATTAAAGGTAGGGTTGTACAGATGATTATTGTAACTGCTGTAAATGAAGTCTGACACCTGTAAAAATGGTGTTGGCAAAGTTGTGTGATAGCACTACCTGCCTCAATTAACATAGACGGATGTAGAAAAATCTCAACAGACCCATAATGAAGAAACAGGTCAGATCATCAAAAACTCCCAACCAAAAAAAAAGTCCAGGACCAGACAGCTTCACTGGGGAATTCCACCAAGCATTTAGAGAAGTGTTGACACCAATTCTACTCAGACTATTCCAGAATAGAGAAAGCTCCTGAACACATTTAATGTAGAAGGCATAATCCAATAACAGAACCAGGCAAAGACATTACCTGAATAAAATACTACAGACCAATAGCCTTTAAGAACATAGATGTAAAAATTCTCAACAAAATTCTATTCAATATAATCCAACAAAGTATCAAAGGAAAAATCTTGATCAAGGATTTCTATCAGATATGAAGGTGCAGTTCAACATTGGATAAGTATTTAAGGTAATCCCCCATGTAAATAAAAATTCAAAAAGGAAAAGAATTGCACATTCGTATCAATTGATACAAAGAAAGGCACTTGACAAAATCCAACAGCCATTCCTGATAAAAGCACTCAACCAAACAAGAATAAAAGGGAAATTCCTCAATATAATAAAGGTCATCCATGCCAAACCAAATGGCTAATGTCTTATTGCAAAGGGGAGAGATTAAAAGCATTCTTCTTGTGAATGGGAACCAGACAAATATGCCCTATATCACCCCTCTTACTCAATATTGTGCTGGGAACCCTAAAAAGCTATTAGCCAAAAAAATAATAATAATAATCAACGACATCCACTTTGGCAAAGAAGAAGTAAAATCCTATGATTCTAGACACAGAAAACCCCAGAGAAAAACTTGGAGAAGGAAATTTTGGAGATAAAGGAGATAAAGGAGATAAATCCAAAGATTCAGCAATGTGGCAGGGTATAAGATTTACCCACAAAAATCAATTGAATTTCTGTAGACTAACAAAAA